GAAGTAGTAGTAGTAGTAGTAGTAGTAGTAGTAGTAGTAGTAGTAGTAGTAGTAGTAGTAGTAATTTACCAGTTGCGCAATTCAGTAAAACAGTAAACACTTTACGAGAAATGGTTCCACTGGTTACAGTGAGTAACGTCTAGGATATAACCTTATTTGTAAGTATAGAAGTAGTCGTTGTTGTAGCTGTTGTAGTAATGTACGAGGTAGGTAGGTAAGTAGGTAGGTAACACTTTATTTATACACGCTTGCCCCGTCAACTAATGCTGATTTCCACAAGGGGCGCGTGTGTGGTTATAACACTTACTAAGTAATAAATTAATGAAACTACTTTAGTTAAGCTACAAATCATAAATAAAAATTTCCCAACTAATTAAGATATATATTAAATATCAAGAAAAAATGTGAGCATTAATCACTTTTCCGAAGTGCTACAGGGAGCGAATCAGTCCACAGTTTTGCTCCACTATAGGAGACTCTTTTCTTCAGATACTCGGTGGGTAACGGAAACTGCAGTGAGGTAGAGGAGTCCCTAAGGTTAAAATGTGTCGTAATATTCTTACTAGAGAAAAGATCAGTTGCGCAATACAATAAACACAGTATTACGAGAAGGCAAGCCGCAGATTTTGTGGTCATCCTTCAACGATAAAGATCGTAAAAAGAACTCTTAAGTAGCTAGTATAATTAGCATTATAATAAATCATGTCGCTTTTATGCGCCAAATCAGGTGATATAGGCGTGACTCGGTCTAAATCAAACACAACGACTACGTCAGGATTCCAAGTTTCTTTCCAGCGAAGTCGACAACGCTTTTGTGCCTTCTCTGTCTCGATCGTGATCGTTCCGTTGATGAATCGAACAAGGGAAAAGAAGATGAAAAATCGCGCAGTTCAAGACGATAAGCTTAGGCAACAGTCAGTGGAAATCGAGGTAAGATTTAACAAGACTTATTTGTCGTCACATAAAAATATAAATTTAAACACGTTTATATTTTAAGATATAAACCAATACCATAGCGATATATGTAGCCATATAACTTCAAGGAAATTCATTAACTTGGCATTAAGTTGAAGGGTTTTTWAAAAAATTCTATTCGTGGAACTAATGGTCCTTAGACCTGTTGCTAGCGCTGGTGTTGACCGCGAGAAAAGCGACTAACCACGCATCGACAGTACGTGGGCAGGCCTTAAGTACACCGAATAAAGTAAAGTACTTTTGACCAACAATATATCCTTAAATATATTTATCAATGAAAAGTAACAGTCTTGTATCGAACACAAACCAGAAGGGCTTGGAAAACTGCGCTTTTTGCGTTCATTGGTTTTGAACAGAGAAATTACTTTGTTCTCCTGATTATTTTTGTTTGAATTGCGATGAATAAGTAGGAAATTGTTCGTTCAATTTTGTAGCTTAACTGAGCATCACATTGTGTGTGAATAAAAAAAAACGAAACTGAAAAATCTGAAATTTCTTTTGAGATTTCACATCTATTATTTAAGTTAATAAAACCTGCAATATTAGAAGCGCGAGGATGGTTTGGTTGAATGTGCGAGGCTTGGCGAAGCTTTGTTTCACACTTCACACTTGAATATGAAAAGAAACTTCAATTCAATCAGAGCAGATTCGTCGAGCAAGAACTAATGTAGTCACTGAAACACTCTATATCACTCTAAAACACTCGAACAATGCTGAAAATGCCTTGCTTGGGGCTTTTCCTTTTTCCTAAAGAATTCAGCAAAAGAAAAGTCTTCATCTTTGAGCCGTATATTTGATACTAAATCGATTGTAAGAATCGTGGCGCCATTCATTGACGGCAAATTTGCTCTACAAAGATGTCAAGCGCGGGAACTAACGCGTCTACCACAAAACCACTTCGACGTCTTCTCTTTTTTAACCGTAACTAAATGCTCAATATTTTTTTTAACTATTCTATTTTATCTATATCTTAACTGCAATTTAACTGAATAATATTTTGTTTATCCAATATATTCAAGCTATGTAGCAAGTATACTTGATTGATATCCATGGCTTGACTCAGTCTGACAGAACTGAAATCCTATCTTTCGACTTCATGGCAAATGTATTCCGTTTTATGCCAAATGTGTTTCGTTTTATATTTGTAGAAGAAAAGAGTATTTCTTTTTTGATGACGGGATTTTAAAGAAACCGATTTTACTCAGTCTCCTTAAAAAACTTTTTGAAGAGTAAATCTGCTTTCAATACAAAATTGAAGGCGAAGAGGTCTTGAAGTTTGAACTTTAATAAAACCGAAACTATTCTTTTTAAAGTACATGAAAAGAGAACAAACTTTGGTTCTGATATCTGCAGTTTTAGTAAAGGTTTTTTTTATTTAAACAATATATCTTTGGACTGGGGTGGAGACCGAAATAGTCCCCACAAGTCAAATATTACGGTATAAAGTGAAAAAAAAAAAAAAAAAAAAAAAGAGTTACATATTATATATATCTTACCAAAGAAGTCCGAGTTCTTTAGTAGTTTTAGTGATAATTTTTGGGTTTAAATAGTTCATCTTTGGATCTTGAAGTTAAATTTGCAGACATTTCCAGTGCTATATATAGATCAACACAGTCCACACCAAGTCAAATGATACTGAATAAAAGCACATGTTGTGGTTTGCGATGATTTTGAACCACGCTGCAGTGTAGTTTATATTCTTATTTATGTGATTGCGGTTGCAGTATTAATCAAAGTGATGACTAACTTAATGCATTAAATAAGTGTTTGGTTTTGTGATAAAATATTCTTTGCCCTCGTCTCAATGGCAGCTTTGGTATGTCTTAGTTTTTGTGAATTACTGATGCTTCCTTCAGTTTAGATTTATCAGATTTCTGTTGCAAATAATTATAATCACCAAAAAAATTTTTTTAAAGGTTTCTAATCTAAATCTAACCTTTCTTTTCCAAAATAGGTTAAAAAATTTAGTTGTAGATATTATTAGTTCATTTCGACTTCCGTGTTGCATGAAAATTTAGATAAATGTGTTTCATGATTTATGCAACTTTTAGTTTTTCTGATCAACTTTACTTAAGTAATAACTTAAATAATAAGTATTAACTGACAGTTGACAAACCTGTAGCTCTCCTATGTTTATACTACCAATGGATGTGCTATGCAATTATAAATAACGTTAATATCAGTCAGTTATATAAAAATATCGATATCTCAGTGATAATAAAAAATATATAAGTGAAACTTTATAAAAAAAAGTTAAGAAAGAAAATAAAATCTCACACACGCTCACATTCGCACAAATTAGGCTGCTCGCTCGATGGTACAAATTGCGCTGATTATTTCAATTTCTCTTGGTCGATTTGCAAGTTAATGTTGACTTCACTCTGCGATCGAATGAGCTTCAACTTTGTGTCAGCTTCATGGTACAATTTGTCGATGTGTTCACGAAAGTGTTTCAGGATTACGACTCGTTTGGCTTTAAGAGTTGGAGTAAGTAAGCCGTTTTCCACGCTGAAGGGTTCTGGATGAAGATGGATCGCCTTGACCTGAAGTGGAAAGAAAGACACGTCATTGATCAGGACGGATATAAAAATACAAAGAGTATGTCGATCAATAGATATAATACTCAGTACATGCTCAAATAAAACAGTGTAGACAAGCGTAAAATGAAAATGGGATTAGAAGAGTTATCTTTAATCGCAGGCATTACAGCATGGCTTGGTCCAAACCTTCCAATTGTATCGTGCATATGGATACCCTGAATTGAAACAGCCTAAGAACAGAACAAAGTCTGGTAACGGCTAACTCACTCACTAATCTTAGGTTTTGTGGAAGGAGGAAAACCGGAGAACCCGGAGAAAAACCCTATAATTAAGGAAGAGACCCACCAAACTCTACTCACATTTGATGCAGAGTCTGGGAATCGAACTCGAGATCTGAGAGGTGAGAGGCGGGTGTACTAGCACTACACCACCCTTGATTCACACAACAATCCTTATGAACCGTGGCATAACAGGCAAAATCACTTCAGTTATAAATAACAATCAAACAGCAGCCATGTTGGTTTGATCTAACAAGAGAAGCTAATGAGAAACGCTTTGTTATCGTCAACCAAGATGGCGGCTATGACGTAAGATGTAAGGATGTGATTGTATCTTAGTTAGTAGAAGAACCATGATTATACATGTAAGAGATACATCACCTTTTCAAAGGAATTGAGCTGTGCTTCTTTGCACCGTTTCATGATATCTTGAAAAACAATTTCTCGAATTTCCTTTAAAACAAAAATAAAACAAAAAGAGAGAGAACTCAGAAGGAGCATGGAAAACAAATGTAATAAATTACTTTTGGTATCAAGCTGTCTGTCGTTTGCCGGGTATACATTGGCATATTCATTCGTTAATGTATTGCTGTAATCAGTCAGTTAGTAGCATTGTTGTTAGTCAGTTGTTCGTTTTTTCTCTCGTTTGCTCGTTCGCTCGTTCGCTCGTTCGCTCGTTCGCTCGTTCGCTCGTTCGCTCGTTCGCGATCGCTCGGATGGGTGGTCGGTTGGGTGGTCGGGTTGTTGGTTTTTTTGTTTAGTGTTTCCTCGATCATTATTAAACTGAAAATACCTTATTTTTACAAAAGAGTGTTATGTCTCCTTCAATTTGGTTCTCTTTGGCCAGTTGTTTCAAAGCTTCCCCGTCTGGCACGACGATAGCGACAACGTACGTCTGGAAGAAAAATACATCATGACACGCTAACCATACCAACATCTGACAGGACATGTTACGGAAGTAATCCACATAACTACGTCACTTCCTGTTCCATTTTTACCCAGCAGAACAACACTAGAGAAAAACGTTTGCGCATGCGTGTATTTCAGCACGTTTTCTAAGAATATAGAAGAGTTTGAGTAAGAAAATAAACGCTCATCTTCTCCAAGTATACAAAACATTTTTCGAGTATACTTTTGTGAGACCAAGAAACTGTATTAATGAAAAGAATTTACCCTTAAGTTTCAAGGTCCAAGGTCCAAGGTCCAAGGTCCAAGGTCCATTTTGCACTTTTTTGTTCATTTGACATTTTCTCACACTTAAAATAAAAATTCTCGATTACCTTGAGCCCTTCGCCATGAACAAAGGCTTGTTCTACATACTGACTCCTTATCAAAGTATTTTCTATCTTTTCTGGAGCGACGTACTCCCCCTGAACACAGAAAAGAGACGGTTGTCATATTTACTCTATGAGGAATGAACTTATGAACTTATAATCATTTGGTGGGTTCAAAAGCAAAAAAATGTAATTTTAAGATATTAGTGATTTCGAGCTCGAGGAAAAGACTGGGTCGAGTTGTTATTGCAATACATTGTGGTGCTGTTTGAGATGACATATTTCCAGATGGAAAGTCCATTTCGTTCCCTAAAACAATCCGACAATGTACTGCAATCTCAACTCGACCTGGTTTTTTTCCTTGACCTTGGAACCTTGCTAACCTGTGCTAATTTGAAGATGTGCTTGCTTCGATCGATAATGCGCAAAGTACCGTTCTGTAATTAAAAAAGCATTTGAAATCAAAAATTTTCTTTGCTCCGCAAAATATTCGAAAGTGAGTTACATCAGGCGAACTGACCTCGAGAAACTCTCCGACGTCTCCGGTGTGGAGCCAGCCATCCTGATCGATCGTTTCAGCGGTTTTCTCGGGATCTTTCAAGTATCCAATAAATACGTTGGGACCTTTGATGCAAACCTTGCGAAGCACACGAAATAATTCAGATATTTTTGCTTAATTTTGAAAGTCAATTTGTCACACCACATCATTGAAATAGCTACAACTTTACTTCTTATTAATCAATGACATGACTGCTATCTCGAGCTCGAGTGCACTAGTGCTCAGTCACTCTTGCTTCCCATGCACGTGTCTGAGCCCAGCCTATTGCTATATAACTTGACTGACAATATGCGGGTCTGGAAGCACTTTGTGATGCACTATGAGCATTCTTACCTCTCCTTTGCCGTCCTTGGCGTAGTAACCCTTTTCCGGTACATCCATCAGTTTGACCAAATTGCAGGGGAGGGGAGATCCCACGTGACCTTAGAAATAATTACATTAGGGATAATATTAGATATATATTTAACAGAGACCCCATGATGACACACAATCATGGCTTCCTCGTAGGTGTCGAGTGACCTTATATTAACCATTACAGATTATTACATTAGATATAATATTTATTAAGACCTTATTAATCATCTTATTAGAATATCGTACGTAAATTAATGAAGCGTTACCTGCTGTCAGATCATATGGAATCTGAAGACTACACACGCCTGAGCATTCTGTTTGACCATAACCTTCAAGGACCTTTGATTCAGAACAAATCGTCAGTAAAGGCTAGGTAACGGACGGACAGACAAATGTAAGGATAGACAGACAGACAAACGTACAAACAGGCAGATATAGTCGAGAGCAAGAATCGATAAACAGTTGAATGAACGAATGAACGACGAAATAGATCAACATTCAACGTCTATCTTAATAATAGCTTACCAAGCATTTCCCGAGAGAACACTTAAAGAACATCATAACCTTGGGCGACAGTGACGCTGCGCCACACGTGACCATACGCAGGTTCCCGCCAAAAAGTTTCTGTTAAATTATGAATCAAAATAGATTATAAATAACAGGACTAAGGGAAGTACAGTGTCTACATCTCAGCCTTATCACCTTTCATGACCAGTGAAAACTGCATTTCGGTTCTTTAAACCGTCTTACATCATAGGTTAATCTAAAGTCAGGGTACGACTACAGGTATGGCTCAGAATCGATTTACAACTTAAAGCTCATTCTAAAGCTCATTTTGGCTGACTGACTTAATGACTTAATAAAGTAATGACTTCGTAATGACTTAATGACTGACTGCCAATAATTACCTGGATTTTCTTAAACACGACGTAGTCCCACAACGTGTTTCCTCGAGAAACATTCCTTTGAAAGAAAAACAACAGCAATCAAAAATAAGTCAGCGGTTACTGATCCTGACCAGAGATATAGCCATTGAAATACAGTGTGACGTAATATTACCACTCTACGGCAGCATTTTCCCCGGGCAGCTATCGCGTTATGCAACCTTTTTATCGGTTTCGGGTTTTGGATCTCTGTGTAGGGCAATTAGAATTTCCGAGGTTGAGGAAAAAAACTGGATCGAGTTGACATTGCGAATTTGGGAAAGTTCATTTTCCATCCAAGACCAAACTCAATAGCCTAATCGTAGGTTTTCATTATGAGAAGGCTCTGGGTTCGAGAATGGGGAAGGTCTATTGATGAGAAAGACTAGGTACGGTAACCTAAACAACACAGGACACCCAAAAAAAATAAAGCGAGAGCTAATCAAGAGGCTGGCTGTATGGAGAACCTATTCATTCGATATACCACTGACCACATATTACTCACTTCTTTAGGTCATGTTCTTTAGAGTTGAGTGCTCTTCCAAACAACCATTTCTTGAACTTGCTTTCAGATATTTGAGACATCACCTGCATTGTTACAATAAAAATAAAAATGAACTAAACTGAACTAAACCGTTCAAAAAATGATCACCAATAAAAAAAGCTTTAAACTAAAAGTATCCAAAAAAGATTTTAAATCATAATGTGGTTTTTAAAGGAACAAAATTCGTTTGGACGAGAAACTTTAATCAACAATTATTCACCGAAGGCAAAGTGAATGTCGGGGAATATTTACCGAGTCGCGAGTCGGTAAAAATACTAATTGATTGGGTAATGATTGTAAAGATGTTTGTTACTGGGACACCTAGTGTTTTTTTTAATGAATAATAAATAAATAAATAATAATAAACTTTATTTCTATAGCGCACTTATCCTATGCTCAAGGCGCTTTTAGCGTTTGTGAAGGTTTCTTACAGTATACCTTGTCATACACTCTATTCAGTATTCGAGGAACCGCTGCAAAGATTGTTGGTCTGGAAGTAAAATAGGTCATTAGTCCGCTTCACGGTTTCTTTGCGATATTGAATAATTTATGTTAGTAAAAATACACAGGTGATTATTGAAAATCTCGCGCGCTGATTGGTCAAAAAACTCGCACTTTATATCACACGATAATCACCTCCAGCGATAATCCAAAATGGCGGCCAGCCGCTTTGTTGCTATTACCGGGAAAAGAATGTCTTTTATATTCTTTTTCTCCCTTTTTTTGAAAGAATCACCTGTGTATTTATACCAAAACAAATATTTGCCTCAGCCTCGGTGAATATCGGGGAATATTTACCTCGCGTCTCAGTAAATATTCCCCGATATTCACTTCGCCTTCGGCGAATAATTGTTGAATAATGCCATGGTAGCTTATCCAATCAGAACGCAACAATGGTGACAGACCACTAGTTGGATTTGTCTAATAGAGAATAATTCTGCATCATTGGTCTTTCATTAATAATATATACGTAGTGTAGCCATTCACAAAGCAGGATTTTTATGAAACCATTAGTTTGTTTGTATACTGATTTAACTTATAAACCATTCTGTTCTACGTTACGTACTTTAGTTCCTGTACATCTTCAATCAGTAGTTTGGGATCACCTCGATAAAATCCAATCCTAGCGCCTCCCGTGAAAAGAAAAATCTACAAAAAAGCAATATATAGGAAGCCGGGGACAATTTTCATGACTTAATGGAATTTGCATTCCAAGAACATAAGTGTATTGCATTCTTTACTTTATTTTAATTCGGCAACTATGTTGTAAGGCAAAAAGAAAGAATGAAAGAAAGAAAGAAAGAAAGAAAGANAGAAAGAAAGAAAGAAAGAAAGAAAGAAAGAAAGAAAGAAAGAAAGAAAGAAAGAAAAAGTGCAAAGCCTTGCATTGTTCCTAGCCGTCCCTAAAACAAAGTTGCCATGAATTCACTGCTCTGTATTTCTTAAATATTAACTTTTCCTCACCATTGCCATCCTTTCATAAATGTGTGCTAAGGGCAGATAAGAAAGATAGGAATCATCTTTGCGTACGTCCAACCTGCCCTGTAAAGAAGAAAATTAAACAGAAAAAATGCTATTTTTAAATTTTTTAAATCTGATTAAAATCAGATATTTAGATTCAAAGACTTTTACCAGCTGACTGAAACAAAGCAATCTAAAGGCACAAGAACACATTTGAGAAAGCATTTGAGTGCATGACAATGTAACACAGTTTCCTATGCAAAATAAATTAATTTTCTCATTACAATTTTATATCAGATATCTAGCGGTATATTATACAGTATACCTGGCTATAAACAGCATTGACACCAGCCAACGTTGCTGTTATATTCTTGTGTGATATCATTGCTCCCTTTGGCGTACCTAATAGAAAACATCATGGTTTGGTTGATGAGTGTTTCTTCCGAAATCGAGAAACCATAAAGACTAAGGCTTATGTCAAACGTCGAACTTCACATGAGCCGAACCTTAATCACATCAAAGAAGACCGCCTTGTTATCCATTTTTCAATTAGGTTCGACTCATGTGATGTTCGAAGTTTGACCTGAGCCTAAGGTAATTAAGAAGATTTGTGATTCATATAGTGCCCTCTATATATGGATAATCAAAGGCGCTTTACATTGAGTTAGGAATTCTAGATTGCTTTTTATGCAACTTACTTATGAGCTGTTGTTAGTACGAAGTGTAGGCACTGAGAGGGTGGTCACCGCCAGGGTTTTCCCTCCGATATTGGTTAATTATGATGAAGTGTAAAGAAACGGGACCACCATTTAAAGAGGTCATCGAAGCCTTTTGAAAGTCTAAGGATTTGTAGATGTAATTACGAAGGCAACTGTTATTCTAAAACCCTGAGTGTTGGTCCGGCCGGGACTCGAGCCACGAAATCCCGCGCGAAAGTCCGATGCTCAACCGAGCTAACCGGGTGACGGTGTAAATAACAATTTAATATACAAGCAGTAGTATTTGAACAAAAATAGGGAGGTTTTATAGGAGATTGAATCGTGATGCGGCATGAATCAAACCTTCAATTTTAAGACCTTTAGGACCATCGTAGATTCTAAAATCTCTACATGCCAATATATTTTACAGACATATATTGATTTTGCAGACAAGTAGATACCATTAAGTTATTTGATGAAGAAATAGCATATTTTATAAGATAGGATGTTTCAGAGTTCGACTAATGGGATAAATTATTGAAGGCGAACGTTTATACTTTTTTGGCCTTTTTTCATCAACGCTGCCAAACCACTTCACTCGTTTAAGAGTAGGATTGATTGACGTCGATCCTACCTGTTGTACCACTTGTGTAACATATGGTGAAGATATCTTCAGGTTTAGCAGGCTAAAACAAACAAACAAAGATGAGGTCAAACTGCCTAAATCCACTTGTGTAAAGGGGACAAAGGTCGTTTTACCTTTCTCGCGTGATAATTGTTCACCCCCATTTGCTGAAAAAGAACCAGAATTACGTTAGCACAGTAACCACTGTTCCAAACGTCTGCTTTTCTTCATTCTTCTTGGCTGTCTTATTAGTGAAGTTCATGGGATAAATAGGCCTTTTGCAACAAAAAGTCACATGCTGATATATCACTTTGATAACGAATCGATTCAGCTCAAGGTCCCTTGGGGAAGGCTCTGCTGGATGGCAAACAAACTTTAAAATGCTTCGTATCTTGAAATCGAAAGTATCTTATAAGGAAAAAAAGTTTAAAAAAAGGTTCTGGATACGCCATAAAAAAATCCAGCAAATTTCCCAATTTTTCTGCTGCCCAATAATAGTCACGTGATCATGTCATGCCATGTCAAAAAGCCTATTGTGATTTCCATCTTACCTCAAGTTGCGCAAAAGTCACAATTTCTAGTCCATGACTCTTCGCCTCTCTCCTCTCTTTGTCTGTAACTTCATTCCCAATCTTGACTATATTCTTAAGGTTTGGACTTCTCTCAGCGTTCGCCATCAAAAAGGCCACTTTTGTCTCGTGGCAGACGATAGTTTCTACATCCGCTGAATGTAAAAAAAGTAGTCTTCATATGTGGAGCTTTATTCAGAAGCTGTCATTAATCTTTATAGTACTATACTTGGCGGAAAGAGTACAGCCATGAAATCTTGATTCTTATTGGTCGTTGACAAATACAAGAAGAGGCTTCCCTGACCACGAGATGTCTTGGTTAAACTAACACTCCTCGGAAGGGGATGCCCTGACAAACTTTTTTCTACATGAAAAAAGGTTTCAGAATCCAATAGAGGAAGGCCGTAAATGGGGTTAAGTAAAAGACTGGTTTGTCAGGGAATCCCCTTTCGTAAAGGGAGCTGTGTTGCACAAGAGATCTGTTTATTTTTCTTCTGGTATACCGACACCAATGTGATTCCCGCGATTCTGCACAGTTCAACAGCCCAACAGTCCTCCATTATTCAGTGCCTCTTCGTTTGCAGTATAGCTTGTTTTATATGACAAGGGGATTCCATGTGAATCATTGACCTACCATGGTTTATGATGTAAACACAAGCATCTGGACCATGAGTGTCGTATATTGGCACTGGTACCATCGAGTACATCTGACAAGCTAAATCCGTTAAAACCCACTGAAACGTACAATAGGTAGTATATAAAATTAAATGGCATCCTGCTACAACATGTTCTAATCATCTGCTAATGGCGGCCATGTTGGAGGACAATCCCTATCTGTCGTAAAAGAATAATATTTTAACAGGACATGAACAGATCCTGAAGAGTTGTCCAATTCTAATTTTTCCAGGCCAAACAAGTAGTCAAGAACCCAGTTCCATAGGTCAAATATATATTTACCAAGATGGCGCCTATTTCGTCCCCTTAAACAGTCCCACAATGCACTGCAATGCCAATTCGACCCGTTATTTCCTCAACCTTGGAATGGCAAATATCCCATACCCACTTGTGTTACCATAGTTCAACGACAATTAATCACGTGATCATGGCCCATAATGCAGCGCAACAATTCTTACCTCTACACAATTTGAGGCATAAATTCCAATAAAGGTTTTCTGTGATGGTGAGCAGCCCAATTGAACAAGACCTGAGCCCACGTTCGTGGCTCGTTGATGAATCTGCGGACAACAAACGCTCTTATTGTCATTCTTAGGCTGCACGTGACGTCAAAGCCGCCATGTTGGTTGACTTGAACAAAAGATATCGTCTTGGTTGCTTTTTGTCATGTCAACCAACATGACGGCCATGTCTTTTGTCCTTGTGCATGTGACGTCATAGCCGCCATGTTGGATGACTTTACCAAAAGATTTGGTCTTGGTTACTTTTTGTCATGTCAACTCAACATGGCGGCCTTTTCTTTTGTCCTTGTGCATGTGACGTCATAGCCGCCATTTTGGATGACTTGAGCATGAGATTAGGCCTTGGTTTCTTTTGTTATATCAACATGGCGGCCATGTTTTTTGAACTTGGATTTTATTTCTGTCAATCTGTTATATGTAAGACTATCAATAAAAATATAATTTATGCAATCATTTTTGCTGACCTCTGTGTACGTTTGCCATTGAAAGGCTGCCACTTTTTTGCCTCTTTTGCCAAGACAAGGCAAATTCTCTATAAAATAAAAAGGCAATGATACCAAACATTAGCAGTTGAGACACCAATATGGTACGTTAAAAAGAAAAATAAATAGGCCGTTTGTAAGATAAGGCCGCCATGCAAACGTGGTACTGCTACATTTGTACATGTCATAACAACCATTTTGTTACGTCCCTCATTATAACTGTCATGTTGAATGGATAGTTGATTTCAACGTTACAGCATCCAATATGCATGGCCGCCATTTTGTTATCGTCTTGTTTTGTTTTTTCTTTCGTTTCTCGTTTCTACTCTGGAATTAATTCTATCTATTTAATTAGAGGTTTCCACTTTTACCAGATATTTTCAGTCCCCTTAGAAATCCTTCATAGGCTGTAGTGACGTCTTCATAGCACAAAGTGACAAGGTTTTCTGATATGGCGCTTCTACGGAAGCTCTTGTCTCCCTAGGAAAGTATTAATACAACAAGTTATCTTTGAAGTATGGATAGATGGAGGGATGGATGGATGGATGGATGGATGGATGGATGCTTTTTCTTATTGTCTTATTTTCTGACGCTGTATTTTCTCCCGGCATTCTGATTATTGATGTTGCACGCATTCCCAAGAGAGTTAAAAGACAAAAGTATGGCGGCCATTGTGGTGCCGTTAACAGTAGATGCTAATGAGAAATCTTTTGTTAAATGGTACCAACATGGCCGCGATGACGTAACGTGCAATCGAAGAATAGAAACGATCTCTAAGGCGCTTAAGAATATCTATTATTTGTGGTCGAAATCGAAATATGCTAAATGAGTCATCTGGAATTGAAAGAGTAATGTCAAACAACGAAGAACATTTTTATCAGCATAATCCAGAAGAAAAACAGTTTTTATTCAGAAATATCAGGGCAATACCGGTCACCAAAAAATGTCCAAAATCATGGAAATGATTTTGATATGCAAAACAAAGATCAAAAATGTATAAACGACGAATGATCAGTCAAGCAATGACTTTAACTAATATGAACAACATTGAAAGCTTTTTTTTAGCGTCGCTTGAATGATTTTTCATGGAAAGGTGCTCACCAAGTGAACTGTCAGAAACCAATCTTCATCAACCAAATCCCAATTATTGTAAAAAGTATATGAAATATTTACTTGAAATTCTGCAAACTTTTCATCGATAGTAATTGTTGCACCGAGAAGAAAAAAAGACTTAGAACTACTTGTGTAAAGCTTTCTTGCTAAGACGTTTAGCCTTACTCAAGTGTAAAATGATATCTAACCGGTGTGTTATAATCATAATTTATAAAATATCTACTAATTTAGGGAAGAAGTCTTTTGATACGATAAGTTTTGGCATTAACGAGGGTTTAGGAATGCATGAGTTTTGTTTTGGAAACTTTAACTACGACCAACTATAAATAATTGCCAAATAATTTACATAATGCCGTTAGTATTGTTAAATCGATAATATAAATCAAAAAATCATGTTTAAAACTATTTTGTTTGTCAACACTAGTTTCATTAATATAACAGCATTTACAACTTACCTGAACTGGAATAGATTGGGCTTTCAGAAGCTTGTCATCCACTGCAGAGGAATTGCTATGGTTTGAATTTTGGTGCGACATTTTGAACAAATTCTTCAACTAACTATAAAAACGAACTAGTTAAATGCAATTATTCTGCAATTTGAATGAAAAAAACCCTCGTTATTATGTGGTTCTGTGGCTTGTTGTGGACTTTTTGATCAGGAAGAAGAGTCAAGACACTTGTGTAAGCTTGGGAGAATTAAAGCTATGTAAACAACTATTTCGCTTGTTGAATGCTCGATGTAGCTACTACGCACCATGGCGCCAATTCAAAGCACTCATTCAAAGCACTCAAAGTATTCATATTCATCAAGCATTCTTTGCATAATTATACTGAATAATTATAAACAAATCAAAAATCAAAACTTTTTAAAACATACACCAATTAATGATTAATAACAAGTATTAGTACTAAATCAATCGAAACTGTTTACGCTGTAATTTTTGTTCGCGAAATCTTTGATGCAGTACGAAAGATTGTTACTGACACATAAATATTGAACGATGACGATATCATAATTATCATTTATGATTTATTTTCCATATATATCATTAACTATAACTGACATTTTTAGATTTGTAAAACTTTTGTTTGAAAATAAGCTGGTAAGAATGACATAAGTTATTTATTTCAAGAAACGTAAACGTTATTCAAAATTGAACTTATACTTACAATTATAAAATAATTGGGATACTACGCGCGCTATGATTGGTCGAAAGCCATGTTTGATGAGAGTATCAAAACACGCTATCGTCATTTTTAATCTATCGCGCGCGCTCATTGGTCAGTTTGAATAAGACGGCACGTAGGGAGAATTTACTTAGACTTTGCTTTTTTTCGATCTTTTCGCGCGTTTGTTATTTTATAAAACAAATCAAAATCAGTTTTCTGTGTTTGATACTCTGATCAAAACACTTGGGATGTTAGAAGAACACTCGAGAAGCTGGAAACCACTCCGCTACGCGTCGTGGTTTCCTACGCTCCTCTCGTGTTCTCCCAACATCCCGCGTGTTTTGATCAGAGTATCAAACACGGAAAACTGTTTTTGATCTGTTAAATTATACACTATACACGCAATTGAAGAATCGTTGTCGGGTTCAGATACATAGAAGCTGAGTTAGAAATGGCACATGGGAAGTACGTTAATTGGATGCATAGTGTGACCGGCGACACGTGGCATCATCCACTGTTTTTAATACATGTTTGGCATACTAAACCGACTGCATGGATAGAGCAAATGAATACATTATAATATAATTATGTCATTTCCCATGTACCATTTCGGTCTCAGCTTCTATGTTCTATGTTTCTGAACCCGACAACGATTCTTCAATTGAGTGTATACACTTATTTCAATAAAGTTAGTCACCTGAAAAGCTACAAAGCTAAGACCGACAAGGATTATGGGTAGATACATTCTACATGTTTCAACCGCTTGATAACTGTTGATGGACTCGAGATCTTCTACCAGTTACAAGTTGACCTCCTCTGAGCATCCTCAACTGCTACAGTTTGTGTCGAAACCTTTACTTGTTGAATTTGAAATATTTACCATGATTCTCAGCGATCACAACTTTCTAGGTTTTTGTTGGCTAACTTTATTGAAATAAGTGTATATAGGTCGTCTTCTGAATCATAAGTCGTTTCAAAAAACGTTTGCGATAAGCGAGCCGTTTGTTTGATCTATAGCTGAAGCTAGATTGTGTTTTTGAAAAAAGACTTATACAGATATCTTAAAGGGTTTAAAGAAAGCGTGTTGTTGGGCAAAACAAAACAAAGAATTCTCCATTTACAAAATCTTTTTTTTTCATACAAAAAGTAGTTTAATTATGCCAAACAACATGGTTGCCTTGAAATCCCTCTGCACTTTTTTCACTTTCTTGTTATTCAGTTGTTTAAAATTCAGTATTTTGAATTACTTCGCACTTGACAGTGACATTATTTTTACAAACGATATAGTAAAACACATAGTATTATAAAAATAAATTTCCTTCAAAACAATTCACAATGTCAATATATACTGCCAAGAATATAATTAAGGGTGCTCGACGAATGAATGACGTCCGGCCCTGAATCAATGTTTTTATCTGATATTTTTTTAGTCAAATACGTGTCATATTCTTTGGTTTTGTGTGTTTGGAAGTCTTGTCTTTAATAATCGCTTACAGTACGAGACAATCTCGTTCCCAGAGCCTTTATTTCTAACTGCGCATGCTCAACGAGATAATTTATTAATCTATTTATTTCATCGAGCATGCGCAATAAGAAATAAAAGCACTGGGTACGAGATCAGATTTAGCTCGAGGCACACTTGCACATGCGTGTAATGCATTCATAAATTATGATACATAACAATAAGAGCGTGAAAATTGCTTCAATACTTAGCATAGTAATGCAAATCACACTATTTGTATTATCATTGCAGGGATCAGGAGGTGCACGGAGATGTAACCTAGTAACTAATGACGTCACTCACCTATATGATGACGTCAGTACTGTTTATGAGGCGTTCTTAAACGGCATTAAAGTCTCAGGTAATAGACAACGTATTTTAGTAATACTATATATATATATATATAGTATTATGTATATATGTATCTATAGTTTTATATATATATATATCTATAGTTTTCTAATAGGCCTTTCCTGAATTCGCTTGAGTGACCACGAAACAATGGTTTGAAGTCAAGACTGAACTTGATTCTTTTATTCATCAAGTTCAACCTCGACTTGAAACCATTGTTTTGTGACCAGTCAAGCGAATTCGGGATAGGTCTATGGAATAACATGCATGTGGCATTGCCTTGATTATGATTTTTTTTATCAAATTGAGCTGATCCTCGTAGTATATCAAGCAACTTATGCAGCTGCAAATTGAAAGACTCAGAAAAAAGTCTTGAACGGGATTTTTTGATTTTTATGATTTTTTTATTGACTCTTAATACTCTACGTCATATCCCATTATGTGTGATGTTTTCCTGTTACCAGCTGAGGTGACCTTCAGGACGAACTCAAGGTCAACCAATCGGAATTGAGGATTCGACGTTGTATTTTCATCCGATACTTGAAAAATGGTTGATCCCTTGTTTTAGACGCATATTATCAATAGATAAATTCTTGGAGATATTTCAACTGTGTTTCCCTAGGTGCTGCCAAGGCAACCCAGTGAAATACGACTTTTTCATTCTTTAGATTTATCTTAACCGCTAGTCGAACAATATGGCAGAATTCCTTTTCATCCTTCGACAAAAGAAATCGTTATTGTAGTCATACTTAGAAAATGATAATCAAAAAATGTTGACCCACAATTCCTTTCGGGGAACGCGGTCAAGTCAGCTGGTACCTATATCATCTACCATCAGCACCACCATCAGCGTCGTCATCATTACCAGCACAAATATTTTAAGTTAAAATTAATTCATCATCATCACCATCATCATCATCATCATCCTGATAGCCTTCGTTATCTTTATCATCATCGTCGTTGATTCATCCTCAGGTGATGGACCCTGCTTGGGTTCCAGGAAGGGAAGTGGACCATACCAATGGATGTCGTATTCTCAGGTCAGCGGTATTCATCAACTATTGCTTATAATCCTACCTCTTATTTATCTATCTATATCTTATCTAGTGTAGCTTTACAACTAATTATGAGTAAATACATAAGAACCAAGAAAAAAGAATTTGTCGCTGGAAATCTCCATCCTGTTAAAAAAAAAAACAGAACACTAACACGATCTCAGGATTTCTTAGTTTTTTCCTCCGATATCCCATGTTCCATATCAGGATAACAGATAAGCCCTTTGCGACTGTTGAATGGTTCTCTCCCTGGTATATATTGATGGGGCTCCTGTGGTTTTGGCGGGAACTTTCTCGCCACAATCGTGCGCCGCGCCCTAGAATATAGAATTCTATATTTTACCTTGCTTCTATTTAGATCCACGAAAGAGCAGCTAATCTGGGATGTGGACTTCTGGAATTGGGCTGTCAATCATCACAAGAAACTTATATCGGTGTTTGGTCTAAAAACTGTGTTGAGGTAAAATATATCAAATGCTAGCTTGGTTTATCGATGATGAGGCGATAAAGATTTTGCCATTTTCTTTTGTTTTTCATTTTTGTTAGTCTCACATGCACGATATTTTTCAAAGGGTCTTTTTAGGTTGACACGACTCCATGGAGTGTAATTTTAAAATTAAGACAACATTAATATATAAAGGTGGTTGTTGCGTGATGTGACGTTGTATGCTATTCGTTGCGTTACAGTGGTTTCTAACAGACATGGGTTGTCAGATGTTCTCCATGGTTACCGTACCTATCTATGATACACACGGCCCAGATGCATGTATCTATATCATACAACAAGGTTTGTTAGCTACTTTACACTCTTCCCTACCCCCCTCGGTATGTCTGAATCTACCCTTCCCCTCCCCATCCGTGTGCTCTTTTCATTTGAACATACTCTCGTCCCCCGCCCTTCCTTTTGTTCTATCCATCTCTTCCCTTCCCATTCTATCTGCTCTGTCCATCTGAACCTACCCTCCCCCTCTCCCTCCGTCTGTTCTTTCCATTTGAACCCACTTTTCCCCTCCCCCTCTCCCTCTGTCTGGTCTGTCCATCTGAACCTACCCTTCCCCTTAGGAATACTTGAATCATATTTTTCAACATATTTTCCTGTGCACAGCTAGCCTTAAGGTCATCGTGTGCAACACAGATAAAGTCAGCTTTCTTCTCGAAAAAGCGAACGAGTGCGACAGCTTAAAAACCATCATCTTGATTGGGGGTCCTGTGGACGGGAGTACCTTGGCAGAAGCCGACGAACTGGGGATTAAAATCCATATCTTTGAGGAAATTGAGGTAAAAAAACTTTTTCAAAAAATGAGTAAAAGTCAGACAAGATCCAAAGAGACATCAAGGCTGTAATTATTTATACATTCAATATCTTATTGTCACGATACTACATTAATTATGATCTGATTATCTGGTACGTTGGTTCATAGAAGCCTTTATTTTATCTAGGAATACCTTAAATATCTTATCTAGAAATTTAAGACAACTAATTACTCACTTTTCTAATGGGCCACCGAGTATTTTTTAGTATCACTTCAACTTTATTTCAATTCCCTCCACAGGAACTTGGAAAGAATAATAAACACCCTATTTTGGTAAGTATCGGCATTAATATTAAAAGGTACTGTCTTTGAATAAATTCAATTGTGAGATATTTGAGAGATTTTCCTCAGACCTTGAAACAGTTCCTAGTAGTGATAATTAGTGTATAATAGTCAAATAGACTCAAAGAAAACAATGGAAATACAATCTACAAACCTCTATTAGTCTACTAACTATTTCACGGTCTGAGGAAAACCACTCTAAAAGTGAAGCTACCATCATATACTAGTACACACGCAATAAAAATATTGCTTATATATATACAAGATAAGAGTACTATAGAGCCTTTGCACCATCACGTGATGGCAGCCATGACAGGAGGCAGGACCAATTTCACCTGGTCTAATCTGATTTACATGAGAAAGAATTCAGTTTCCCATGGAAAAAGTGCCTTCCATCCTGTGAACATGTCTACTATCACGTGATGGTGCAAAGCCTAAATTATTTATTAAGTTATCCTTCTAATTGATTTTTAGCCCCCCGGACCAAACGATGTGCATACAATCAGCTGGACCAGCGGTACTACGGGTAAATATTAGTAGATGGCTTTCACGTGACGTCACAGCGGCCATGCTGGTGTACCAAAAGGATACATTTTCTATCCTCCGGTAATGCAACTCTTTTTTTTAATGCAAAAACTGTGAAGAAAGTTTCTATTGTTTGGTATACCAATATTGCTGCCTTGTCACGCGAGTAAAAACGCTCTATACTGACCGAATGAACTAACGACCTTTTAAGGTGGCTGAGTGATATTCTGTTATAAACGCAGGTTATCCTAAGGGCGCTTTGGTAACCCATGGCAACATCATTTCCAACATGGCAGCCTACTTGTTTATTATAAAACAGGTCAGTAATTGAATATTATCTACAGCACGTGAAAATGTACCGTGCCGTGCCGTGACTGTGACGGTAGAGTAGATTGCTCATGACTGCGAAATGGCTTGTCACATTATGGTATGGAATTGAGGACATTTGTGGAACCAATTGTTGCACGTAAGGTAACGGTTACGTTGAGGATCATCCAATCAGAATTGGATGACACTTCACGTTTACGGTCACAGCATGGCACGGGACGTCACTAGAAACTTTTACTAGAAACATAGACTTTACTTTGCAGTATTCTCTTGCTCTCCGAAGGATCATAAATGTGTAGTTATCGTTAAAACTCAAGACTCGAATTCTCTTTTGCTCACGACTAACTTCGATTTTGCGGTGAATAAGAATATTAATATTTTCCAGGGAAAGTTGTTAAAGTTGTACATTCTTTACTTTACCGCATACCATTAGCATTTGTGAATATTCTCATACTAAAATGAGGCTAGCCCTGTATAAATGAGTCAAGGAACACAGCGGTATTTTAGCAATTCTTATAGACCTTTTCTGACATAGCAAACAGGGTGCATTGTGGTCTAGCTTGGGTACAAATACCCTTTTTCAACCCCTTGTATGGTGTTGTTTGTACCGAAGCTAGACCAAAATATATCAGAGTAGGCCTATACATGCCCAACAACGTTCGCACGACGACCCCATTTCATTATAAAGATCTCGTTTCCCCCCAGGATGGAGTGGAGTTAAACGCGCACGACGTTCACCTCTCGTATCTTCCACCAGAACACATGTACGAACGCTGCACACAGGTATGCCGTTTTCATAATATATTATGTATTTACTCTTACTATGGACAACAGGGCTGAAAGACAAGCCAGTGAAAATATCGCGGGCTTTACCTACTTCGGAACACGAAATGCTAATGGTTCTGAAAAAAATTCAAAGTCAGCTACGAAAGTGCGGAGGATAAGCATAAGCTCAATTCTTGAAGGTGTAGAAAACAGTTGTATTTTGATCTATTAACCAATGTCAAGGAGATTTTCTTATATTCGTACTAGATTGATTTTCCCTGCTGACCTGGGACTAATTCTTGTGGTAAATTCAAAATGTTTCAGTGGCCATGTTTGTTTTCTTGGAAATTTTGGCGCATGATTATACGTTTGTCAATGCTGTCACTATAGATAAATATGCATGTACGAACGTTGTAATTCAGGCAATAATTCAATTCATACCTCTATTATTTGGTCCTTAATCAAAGTAATTGTTTATTAATATCTATCTAACCTGTTTGTTTTTTTAGTGGTCGAGATCAAACCCTTTGTTATGCGTTTGGCTAATGTTTCTTTTGAATAAGCGCTCCTCGCACCATGTGTTGCGACCCGGGACCAATTTCCGCGGTGAGGAATGCGAGTAGAGTTTATTGGGTCTCTCTCTCTTGTGTGTCAAAGGATTAATTTTTCTCCAGTTTCTCTGGTTTTCGTCCTTCACAAAAATCAAACAGTGCTTAATTTTAATTACATGGCAATTGGAAGCCAAGTCAAGCTTTCCAGTCAGTCACCAGTAGATCAAGCTGAAAAACAAACAAACAAAAAGAGCTGGTATTTTTACTGACACTTATGATAAAATAAATAAAATAATGCCTGAAACAAGTAGCTACAAGAGATTCGCTAAATTATCCGTACGGTTGACAATTTTGTATTTTCTAAATTATAGACAAAGAAATTAAAAAAAATATGAAAATAAGTCTTTGTATCAGTTGAGAGTACGTTACCTTGTTATTTATTCATGGCGTACTTGATCTCTTCTCTTGTCTGATCCCACTTATGCTTGGTCACAGCCTCAAAAACCTCAATTGCCAAATTTGGAAAATATTCCAAAAACACAAAGTCTTCCAGAAGCTGTTTTCTGATTGGTGTTGGTCTCTTATCCTCAGAGACATGGGAAATGGCGTTTCGCATGAATCGTACTAATCCAATAACAGAGGAAGTATCGTACGGTGTCTTTCGTTTCTTCATCATTTCAGCGTAAATAACAGGCATATGTAAATACGCTGGGTCATCCCATGTGGGATGAACGACAATGACACTAAAGATGGAATCAAAGTCTGCCTCTATTTCAGTCAGAGGAAGTGGTCGTTTAGCACGTGGACATTCAAATTCTGGCTGGTTGGCAACAGAAGAAAGGAGGTCAATCTTCTTCTTTTTAGGCCAAAAGAGAGGATGATCCGATGTGTCGGTTGCTGTTGGCCGTCTGATAACGTCAACGTCAAGCATCTTTTTCACAAGGTGCCTTGCTTCAGGACAGATCGAGTCATCCCATCCTTCCATTTTATTATTTATTACATTAGACTGTGTTTCGTGCGTTTGCAACAAACTAACTGGTTTGGAACCTTCAACTGCAGCGGCGGCGAATGGATGCTTTTTGACCGTCAAAATGTAATGAAGAAGAAGTCCACAGGAAAATATATCCGAAGGTTTTGAATAATCTTTAGAAGACTTCAAAACCTCTGGAGCAATCCAACATTTGGTTCCAACATTGGTGCTGTATACTGAGAAAGAACCAGTACTATCCATACGACGGCTAAGGCCAAAGTCAGCAATTTTCAGGCACAATTTAGGGTGCGTTTTGTAGAGTATGTTGCTTGGTTTTAGGTCGCGATGAAGAACATCATTATCATGCAAGTATTTCAGGCCTTTTACGACATCTAAGCAAAGTCCTATAAGTTTTTCAAGGTCAAAGATACAACTATCAAAGTACTCCTCCAGATTTCCTTCCATAAGTTCTAAAATGACGTATGAAAAATGATCATCGTCGTAGAATGACAAGTAACGAACCACTTGTTCGCAGTCTGCAAGGGCTGTAAGATTTGATATTTCCCGCTGGTCTTCTGGTCTTTGGAGGCGCAGCTTTTCGATCCGTTTTATAGCAACCTCTCTGCCATCCTTCTCATTGATTCCAGCAAAAACAAATCCGAATGAACCAGAGGCTAAATGACTTCGGTGGTACCAAAACTGACCTACTTGTTCACATTCCTGTCGCCTTGCAACTTTGGCCAACTGTAGTTGATATGTCGTTGACACAGACATCCAGGGAATGAGTAGTTGGATAACTTCCACTGGTTTGAGCAACAAATCTTGGAGTTCAGGACAGGATTTTGCTATGTCGAGGCATGAAAGTCCTGACGTATCAGCAATTCTGCAATCGGCTCCAACACTGAGAAGCTGTTTAGCAATTGTCCAATGAGCAGATGTTCTTCCTAGAAGGTTTCCTGGCTCTCTTACGATATTTCTGCAGCAAAGATGAAGCGGAGTGTCTTGGGTTTCTTTTCCAAGGAGATAGCTTTTCGATGACTTTAAAATCTTCTCGACAAGGATGCTTTTCCAGAGGGCACGTGGTGACTCATCTTTGCAAACAGCATTCAAAAGCGAAACAGCAATGGATGGAGATTGAATAAAGTTCGTCTCACAGGCGACGTCCAGCAAGGCTTCTGCAAGTGCAAAGGCTTCCGACTTGACTAATACACTCATGACTGACTCGCCATTCTTGTCAACTGCCCATGGATCAAGACCTTTTTCAAGCACTAAATTCCAGAATGCTTTTGGCTCAAGCAATACGTCAGGATACAAGCGATCAGGCGTTCGAAGAAATTTGAGGTTTCTTGCAGCAACAAGCAGAGGCGTGCGTCTCAATGAGTCCAGGTCGTTTGGGTTTGCTCCAGCATCGAGCAAGAGCTTGGCAGCAGTCCATGATCTGCAAAGATGTAGAGGTGTTTCGTCATCAATGTTTCTATCATTCAGTTTTGCGTTACATTTCAAAAGCAGTTGAAAAATTCTTTGTAAATAGTTCTCAAATGATTCATCTTTAGAAGTGGAAGCATTAGCACCTATGGGGTCTACAGCAAGAGCATTGTATTTCAGCGATGCCCAAAGGTGAAGAGGAGAGATGAGATTGGTGTTTCTCCTATTTACTGTGAATCCGTCATTGCATAACTTTGCCTGTACTATCAACTCCAATACTTTTTCTGTCTCTTTTGGAATGCTTTTTTCAAATTCAACGTGGAAAAGAGTTAGACCATGATGACAAATCTTTAAAATAAGGTGAAAGACTGATTCCCCAGCTCGTGATATTTCTTCAACCCTTGCTCCATTCTTTAACAGAAAACTACATACTCTCACAACATTTTGAATTGCTGGAAGCTTCTGCTGGGGGCTCGCAATGTCATACGCATCCCCAGATAAACAATACAGGAGGGGCGTTTCATTTTGGTGGTTCTTGACATTGAATGAAACTCCAAGTATTTTCAGAAGCAAACATATATTCATAACGGTTGTTTGAGAGATGCCAATATAAGGTAAGCGAGTTGCATAGTGAAGAGCAGTGTTGCCATCGGAATCTACGCTGTTCGGGTTGGCACCTAGATTTTTCAGGAATCTTAGTATTTTAGGAACCAAGGATTCCCATCTTTTAACAAGATCTTTGTTTTCGTTTGTTTCTTTCTTTACAGTTTCTAACATCTGTCTAATTACATGGCGATTGTATGTGCATTTGGAATTAAGGTCCATGTTTTCAATGGCAAACTGTAACGCCTCAGAAATAGAGTAGGAAGCAGAAAGAGAAGACAGAACTTTGCAGAATAATGTATCAATGACAGCCTGGAATACCTGTTCTTGTAAAATTCCATGTCTTATAAAAAGCTGAGTCCCTTTAAGTATGGATGACCTTCCCAAATGGCAAAAATGGTTATGGATGTAAAACGATAGAATGCTTAGATGGCAATTGTCCGTAATGTGCAAGAGGGCTCCTTTAGCAAGCAACCAGCGAGCTATTTCGAGAGATTTTGTAAAAGCATAAAACAGTGGTGTTCGTCCGTAAATATCTCTCGCATTTACTTGAGATTTGCCATTTCCTACCAATTTAAGAACAAGATCTTTATTGTCAACGGCGTAAAATAAAGCAGTTTTATCCTCATTGTCAGCTATGGTGACATCGGCACCAGCATCAATCAAGTCTGTTACGACAGCAGCACGATGTTCTTTGACTGAATACGATAAAGCTGTATAACCCTTTTTATCTCTCATATTTATGTCAGCACCGGCGTTTATTAATAAACGGGTAATGGTTTGAGTACCCCTTAAGTAAAACAAAGCAGTTTTCCCCTCTTTGTCTTTTGCGTTGACATGAGCTCCAACATCGACAAGTGCAGAAAATTGGAGTTCTTTATCGTTTATTACAGCACAATGCAAAGCCGTTTTTCCCTCGTTATTAGTTTCGTTAACTTTAGCACCATTATTAACCAAAAGAATTACCATATTTCGACTCAGTGCATAAAACAAAGGTGTTTGTCCTTCACTGTCAGTCCTGTTGACATCAGCACCAGCGTTAATTAGTAAAGCAGCCATGTTTACATCATCAAAATCAACAGCATAAAACAATGCGGTCTTTTTGTCGTTGTCACTGTAGTTTACATCAGCACCAGCATCGATTAGAGCACGAATGCCACCTACATTGGTGATGCTATTCCTGATAGCATAAATCAAAGGGGTCGTTCCAATGTTATCAATCGCGTTTACAGAAGCTCCAGCGCTAACCAGGCTTTGAACTACCTCTGCACTGGAAGCATAGAAAATACTTGTCCTTGCTCTCTCAAATGCATCAGCAGGAATGACAGCATCCATCTCTGATTAAAGCACTCTCTGTGGACGGAACAGATACTTAGTGACTAGCCGTTGTATATTGCAAGTGAAGTGCTACGAGTATATGTTACACGATATCTAACTGGCTTATTGTTCCGACTTTGTTGAACGATATGAAACATTAGAGTGGGGGTATGACGAAATTTATTTATAATTATTGTTATTTAAATATGCCAATCAGAAATATATTAGCGGAGCCCCATACTTAAGAAAAAATTGGTAAACCATCGAGTTGATTTTTCATGGTTTGGCTGGCGTCACTTCCGTCCGTCCGTCCGTCCGTGTACACAACACAGGAATCCCGCTTGATATCAAAGCAAAACTACTCACAAATGCGGCTCTCAAATGCACAGAAAAAATCGCTTTAGGACAAGTTATAGACCAAAAACAATTAAAAAAACACTTTCATGTTGTCAAAGATGGATCAAGAAGTGTTCTACAAGAATTCAGGTGTGTGTTTTTTAGCAAACAATCGTATATATATATWTTTTTTTTGACAAGCATTTTTCTCGACGAATCGATCGAGAAATCAAAGACTTTCTCTCAAAACTTTTTATATTTCTATCGATAAGATTAATTTATTTTAATGCTGGAGGAAATATAACACGAAGAGCATGTTACAACAAATATTCGTCCTTTATTTAGCTTTGTAAATCTTTAACAATTCGGTTGTTTTTAACCAGCTATCGTATGTTTTTCGTTCAAGAAAAAGCTTTATTCGCCTCCTATCGCGGGATCCAGTCGGCAAAACAAAGAAGACTTTTAGATATCTTTCTACACGGATAATTTTTTTAATCATTAAATGAAATATGAATTTTTACCAAATATTCAACTGTTTATTAAGCTGTTCGAGCAAGTATGATTATAAAAAT